ATTCATGTTTGTTCTATGTATGTGCTATGTCTCGAGCCCGTGTCTGTGGTGGTGAGGGGCAACGTTAGGGGCGTTCCCGCTCAGGGGGGAACATCGACCAGGAATCGGCTATACGTCCCAATAGATCGGCGATCGGCCTCCGATAACGAATCCGCACGCTCCTGGGCGGGGTGTGGCTTTCGAGCCCCCATCGGCGATCAATGGGCGATCAGGGGTCGGTACCTCCCCCGTGAACCTAGCCCATTTTTCCCCTGGTATTGCCCCTGACGTGTCTGTGGTGGGATCGGAAACGCCTGTCTGCATGTGTCCGACAGAACATTTAGCACCTGAAACACATTTAACTCCCGCAAGAGAGAAAGACATGACCAATAAGGGCGCCGCCTCAAACACGGTCCACCATAAGACCCGGGCGTTGGTGGACTCGGCCGTGTTCCGATGGACGGCCTCGCGCGTGATCGCAAACTGCTGCTGCGCCTCGATGTCGAAAGTGCGCGCGTGCAGCTTCATCACCTGGGTCTTGGCCGTGCGCTTCAGTCACACCATCGGCCGTCGTGGGATTCGCCGACATCGCCCAAACATCCGACGGCTCGATTTGTTCGCAACAACAGATCCCCCAGACCTCTCGACCCTTGCCCAAAAGACGGGTTTCCATCGCATCGCATTGCCAACGGCACGGGAACCGTCTGAGCTGTGACGAGGCGCCTCGACGCCGTGTGACAAACATCTGAACGCCTGCTGTTTACGTCGAGGAACAAAGCAACGGCATAAACCTATATTGCTCCCATCGTGCATAAGGACCTGATCCCAGAAATAATTCCGAGCACCCAAAAAAGTATCGAATCAATGTCGAACGAGTATCGCTTTCCAGGGCCCGACACGTGAAAACCATCCAATTTCGCTACTTTCCTGATGCTCGAAGTTCTGTCTGGTGATCAAAGCGAAAATACGTCGGAATATCAGAAGTATAAACAGGACTTCTCGGAGGTCCGCGAGGGTTTCTTGGACAGGCGCCGGACCCCTCCGGGGCGGCGTCGGGGGCGCCGCCGGTGGGGCCCAACGCCGATCCAAGAAGTCCGCGCAGAGCTCAAAGAAATGATGTGCATGCATCTCTTTCCTCCGATGATCGCACTGGCCTTCTTTCGGTTTCGTCACACTTGGATCCATGACTTTACGCTCTGGCCGCGGGGCCTGGCCGGGCCCCCGCCCCCCGCACGGCTCGCGGCGCTCCCGGCCCCGAGCCGCCTCTGGACGCTCTGGCCGCGTGGCCGGCCCCCCCAAAGGGGGCACCGCCACGGCGAAGCGCTGGCCGCCTCGAGCTTCGCTCGAGCCGCCGGTCTGCCTGGGGCCTCTCGGGGGGGCGAGCGGCACGCGGCGTCCCCGCCGTCCTCAGCTGCCTTTTGACGCTCCCGTGGCCCGACGCCGGCCTCCAGGGGGGCACCCAAAGAGAGACGAAGCGCCAGCCGCCTCAGCGGATCAGCTCACGCAGCTGGCCTTCCCAGCGCCTCCCACCAGCGCCTGTAGTGGCCCCGCGTCGTGGCAAGGGCTCAGCGGCGGAGCCGAAACCGGCGGTGTGCAGCACACTTCGTAGCTCCCCTTGCCAGACCCCCCCATTTCGTCGTCGTCTGGCGTTCGAGATGTACAGTTGACCCGTATCATAAGGATGCGCGGTTAAGGTGCAAGGGCCATGGAGGGCCATGTTAGCGTTTCTCGAACGAGGTTGGCCAGCGAAAGTCGCTAAGGGTGGGCCGAAGGGGCAAGGATGCAAGGGTACCCTTGGGAAGGTTGCCCATCCTTACTATGCGAGTCGACTGTATGTACCACTGTCCATGCTTCGATCGACAATTTTTGCACAATCCCAGTTCCAGACTGGAAGCGAGCAGCGCGTTCACTTTGCCTGGCGCGGTAAGTGCGCCACTCATGTGCCTTTTGACACACGGCTTTGACTGACTGACTAATGTTCGGGTCATCACTCGGGTCTACAACGGCCGCTCGGGACGATTCGGGCACACCCAGAACGCTCCCAGCGAGGCGCAGCTGCTGGAAAACGTCCCGAGGCTGAAACACCGCTGCGAACCGACGACGACGACGACGACGACGACGACGACGACGACGACGACGACGACGACATCGACCCTCGATCCTGGAGGCGGCTGGGGGTCTGAACTGGCTGGGGCCACATAGAATCAGCGAGGAGGGGGGGATGAAGCCAAATCCGCTCAAAATCGGTCTTCGGACAGGACCCCTCCCGGGGTCTGTCTGGTGCAGCTTGCCGCCCTGGATCCGTTTCTGATGGTCTCGGGGCCCGAAGACGGCCACCGACGACGGACAAAAGACAAAACTCCTTCCCGAACCCAGCGCCTCGAACCTCGCCCCCTCCTTCCTGCTCGCCGGAACCAGTACTGGGCCACCACAGACCCCCAGCCGACTCCAATCCTCGATCGTCGACCTTCGAGTCGGGCCTGCCGCGAGCGGCGATGTATCGGCATGCATCGCCGACGCATCGGCGACGTCGGCGTGGAGAAAATCGGGCTCCCCATCGAGCCGCATCGTCGATGCATCGGCGATTTGGAGCGATCTTCCGACCCCATCCGCATCGACCCCATCTGGGAGGCCTAGAGATGAGCCCACGCTGCGCATGGCCCGCTGCTCCACGGATCGGCTGCACGCAATGAGTGACCCTGGGCTTTCTTTCTGGGGGACCGCGGGGGGACCAGACGCCAGCGCGCAGGACGTTGCTGTCGCATCGCGTTTTCGGCGATTGGGGGACCCCAACGGAACCCCACACCCCCGACGTTGTGATTTTTTCAAAGCGTCGACCCCCAGAGGTCTGGGCCCCTTCCCCAGGAGCGGTCTTTCATCCTGAGTCGCTTTTGACGGTCCTGGGAACCGGCAAAGGCGCCCCAGAGGCTGGAAATAGCGAAAAACCTCCCGCCGTTATTTTGTTGCAACGCTAGATGGCCTGGACCCTGCTGCCCCGAGAAACCGTGGGACACCGCAGACCCCCTCGCGTCGTGAACAGAAGCACGACGGGAGGACTTTCGCTAGCCTTAAGTCGGGCCTGTCCCCCTACAGGGGGATTTTCGACGAAAAATAAATTACCCCAGTGCGACCCTACCTAGAAGTTGGAGCCCCTAGGAAAGCAGCATTAGTTGCTATGCAATGCTATGCTATGCTATACCATGCTATGCCATGATGCGCTGTGCTATGCTAAGCTATGCTATGCTATGCTATGCTAAACTGCGCTATGCTATGCTATGCTATGCTATGCTATGATATGCTTCGCTATGCTATGCTATGCTTCGCTATGCAATGCTATGCTATGCTTGGTTATGCTATGCTATGTTATGCTAATGCAGCGCTGCGCTATGCTAAACTAAACTAAGACTACGCTAAGGTAAGCTAAGCTAAGCCTCTAAGCATAGCCTAGATAGGGAATTCCACCCATGCTATGATATGCGATGCTGCGCTATGCTATGCTACACTATGCTATGCTGTGATCTGCTATGCTAGAGCTCAGCGAAGCTAAGATGAAGGTAAGCTAAGCTAAGACATAACTAAGGTACGATGAAGCCAAGCTAAGGTAATATGAAATAAGCTAAGCTAAGATGAGATAAGCAACGCGAAGCTAAGGGAACGTCACTGGGGGAACCGCGGGGCGGATACTGGGGGAACCGCCCGGGGCGGGCCCCACTGTCCGGCCCTTTAAGCCTCCGAGAAAGAACCCTTCTAGGCAGAACCTAAGTAGGGAAAAACCCAACAGGGGGATTTTCGACGAAAAAATCCAAAACAATCAAAAAATAATCAAACAATAGTCTGGGGACTATTTTTTGAAAGTTTCTTGACCTTTTTGGTGCATTTTTCGGGTAATTTTTTATTTTTTCGTCGAAAATCCCCCCATGTATTAGGGGACAAGCCCGACAATAAGCTATCTTCGGTCTCGGGGCCCTCGCTGGGTCCGGGACCGTCCAACGTCGACTCGCTCGGGAGAAAAGCGGTCAGGGGAAGGGTCACGAGGTGGAGGGTGAGGGGGAGGAGGAGGAGAGGGAGAGGAGGAGGAGGAGGTGAGGAGGAGGAGGAGGAGGAGAGGAGGAGGAGGAGGAGGAGGAGGAGGAGGAGGAGGGTGGAGGAGAGTGTGGAGGAGGAGGAGGAGGGGAGGAGGAGGTAGTGAGGGAGAGGTGGAGGGGAGGGTGGAGGGGGAGAAGGAGGAGGAGTGTGGAGGAGGAGGAGGAGAGGAGGTGGAGGGAGGGGGGGTAGGAGGAGGAGGTGGAGGGGAGGAGGAGGAGGAGGAGGGGGAGGAGGAAGAGGAGGGGGAGGAGGGGGAGGAGGACGAGGAGGAGGAAGAGGAGGAGGAGGCCGGGGGAAGGGTCCCGACCTCTGGAGGTCGACGTTGTGCAAAAATCACGGCGTCGGGGGCCTGGGACCGCGGAGCCATCGTGCCAAGACGCGGTGGCCCTCGACTGGGGAGCGGGGGGTCAGGTCGGGCGTGCCCTTCTACAGGCGGACTTTGGACGAGAAGTAAGCGACAGTGAAACAATACGCCCAACTGTTCAAACATGCAAGCAAGTCGTCCATAGTACTTTTTTGTTGGGAGATTATTTTTGAATCTTCCTCCTGTAGAAGGACAAGCCTCGGCTTAAGCGGAGTGCCTCGGCGGGCCACGGCCACGCAGGGGGCGCTCCTCCGACCCAGGACTGCCGGACGGCCCGACCACTGACCACCAGAGCCTCTTCCTGAGCCCACAGGCAGCAGGAGGAGGAGGAGGGGGAGGAGGAGGAGAATTAGGAGGAGGAGGAGGAGGAGGAGGAGGAGGAGGAGGAGGAGGAGGAGGAAGGAGGAGTACGCAGGTGGTTGAGGTGGAGGAGGGGGAGGTGGAGGAGGTGGAGGAGGAGGAGGAGGAGGAGGGGAGGGGGAGGATGAGTAGAAGGAGGAGGAGGAGGAGGAGGAGGAGGTGGAGGAGGAGGAGGAGGAGTAGGTGGAGGAGGGAGGAGGAGGAGGAGGTGGAGGAGGGTGGAGGAGGTGGGGGGAGTAGGGAGGAGGAGGAGGAGGGTCGGGTCGGGTGGAGGGCGGGCTCCGGAGCCCGCCTGCGCCGGCGCGCCGGCTGCCGCTCAGCGAGTCATCCGGACGGATGCCCGCTTTCTGAAACCTGCAGAGGGCCAGCGTGCCAACCAGGGGCACCACGGCTCAGCCCTACAGCCCGCGCGGGCCACAAGACAGAGCCCCCAGCTTTCCAAGCCGAGTCCAACCGTGGCGACGAAGAGGCAGCCGACCGAAGACACAAAACAAACCGACCCCGACCGAAACTCAGCTCGCGACGTCCTCACTTCCGAGCCCAGGTTCATAGCTCGAAAGTGCCCCTCCTGCGAGGGACGCCACAGCCTGGTCCAGGAAGTAGGTCTTGATGTCGAGCGCCTTCGCCGGGTGATTCGCGAGCACCTTCTTGACGCACGCGATCATCGTCTCCAGCTGCTCGTGCAGGTCCTCGCTGAGGGGGGTGCCCAGCCGCGGCTTGAGCAGGGCACGGAGCTCGGCTTCGAACTCGTCGCCCGCCTGGTGCCCGCTGTTCTCGTCCCCCGCCTCGTCGAAGTCCAGCTTCTTGTACTTCCTCTGGCGGCGGCCCTTCTTGGTCTCGCCGCTGGGGCTCCCTCCCTCCGGAAGGACGCCCAAAAACTGTGAACTGCCGCCCGTCGCGGAAGACGTTGCCTGGACCTCGGTCTTCGTCGGCCCAGGCTCTCCGCCTCCGCTTCCGGTCACCTCGCAGCCCACTTCTGAAACCTGATCTTCTTCGTCTTGGCCCCCCTCGATGATGACTCCGGCTCCTTCTTCCGAGCTCGGGCCAAAATGGGCACTCCCGAGTTCGGCCTGATCGTCGATCGTGAGGTCGACGACTTCTCCTCCTCCGCCTGCCCCCAGGACTGGGTTGAACTTCCCGTTGAAGGCTTCAAAGACCAGCTCCAGGTCCCAGTCCGCCTCCAAGCAGTCCGCCCACTTCGCCTTCTGGGGTTCCGCTGTCGCCGGGCTCAGCGGTTCTTCCATCCACCCGGCTTCTCCTGCCAGCGGGCGCTCCGACCCTGGTGGCCGGCCCAACTCTTCCTGGTCGCTGGCGCAGCTGTCTTCCAGGGCGGGGGCGGGGCCTCCGCTTGCTTGGCCTCCTTCACCTTGTCCCGCTTGGCCTTGCTCGGCCTCGGCTGGCCCGTGCGACGCCTCGCCGCTGCCTTCGTCGTCCTCTCTGGCGATCCCGGCGGCGAAGTCGCCCTCTCCTTCGGGGCTGGCTTGGAGGAGGAGGGAGGAGGAGGAGGAGGAGTAAGGAGGAGAAGGAGGGGGAGGGGGTGGAAGGAGTAGTAGGAGGAGTGAGGAGGAGGAGGAGGAGGAGGAGGAGGAGGAGGAGGAGGAGGAGGAGGAGGAGGAGGAGGAGGAGGGGGAGGGGGGAGGAGGTGGGAGGAGGAGGAGGGAGGAGGAGGAGGAGGAGGAGGTGGAGGAGGAGGAGGAGGTGGAGGAGGTGGAGGAGGAAGGTGGAAGAGGAGGGAGGAGAGGTGGAGGCGGAGGAGGAGGAGGGGGAGGAGGAGGAGGAGGAGGAGGAGGAGGGGGGGGGAGGAGGAGGAGGAGGAGGGGGAGTAGGAGGAGGAGGGAGGAGGAGGAGGAGGAGGAGGTCGAGGAGAATGGAGGGAAGGAGGGGGAGGAGGAGGAGGAGGAGGGGAGGAGGAGGAGGTGGAGGAGGGGAGGATGAGGATGAGGGGAGGAGGTGGAGGAGGAGGAGGCTGTGTGGAGGAGAGGAGGAGGAGGTGGAGGAGGAGGAGGGGAAGGAGGAGGATGGAGGACGAGGAGGTGGAGGAGGGAGGAGGAGGAGGAGGTGGAGGGGAGGAGGATGGAGGGGGAGGAGGAGGAGAGGAGGCGTGGTCCTCATCTTGGCGTCCTCGCTGCGGGAGGTCCTGGGCCCGTGCAGGTCCCCGGAGATGCCCACGGCAGGCCTGGGCAACATTGGCTCCGAGGGCCCACACGGGGGAGAGCTCCGGGAGCCCTTGGGGCCCACCTCACGCAGCCGCCCTCGAGAGGACTTCTTTCGGGGAGACTCTGGGCGATCGTTATCGGCGGCCAGCGAGGGGGGGAAGTGAGAAGGAGAAGGCCTTCTCAGAAGGCGGCGGGGCTTCTCAGAAGCCCGCGCGCCTTTTGAATAGTTCTCTGTCTTCTGGGAAGGCTTCGAAAACTTCTCAGAAGGCCATGGATTTCCGAGCCTTCTGAGAAGGCTCGCCCCTTCTCACTTTCCCCCCTCGATCGCCGCCGATCGTCGGGGGCCTGCTCATGGGGGAAACATTGAGCAGGAATCGGCGATGCATCGCCGATTGATCGGCGATGTGCTTACGATAGCGAATCCGCACGGCATCGGCGACCCATGGGCGATGGACGGTAAATGCACTTCCCCCCTGAGCCTCCCCCCACACCATTGCCCCTGCATCGACATGGCGGGGCCTGATCTGAGATTTGGCGCGAGCTCTCGCTGCAGACGTCCCACGAGGAACGCGACCGTCAACGAGTAATTACTCCAGCGACTGGACAAGGGCTGTGGATGCCATGACGATGGGCACTCTAACCGTTCTATCTAAGCGCAGGCGCGGCCGCCTTTCTCGGGTCGGGCGAAAGGGGGGGATAGCAAAGGGGGGGTTTGAGAATCAGCTCACGCAGCTGATTTTCCCGGCGCCTCCCGGCGCCGGAAGCGGCTATGTATCGAGGAATGGGCCCCTCAATGAGGCCGAAACCAGCTGCATGCAGCAGATTTCGTGCCCCCCCCTTTCCCAATCCCCCCCTTTCGTCCGGCCCGGCTTTCCCCGGGCCGCCCCTGGGCCATGACGCCCGCCGACCGCGCGGGCGCGCAGAGCCGGCCGCTGGTCCGACGGCCGCTCGCCTGCCGCCCCCACCGGCCGCCGCCGACGACGACGACCACGCCCCCCGCCCCCGGCCTCCGTCCCCGCCCACGCCGTTGCCCCCGCCCGCCTCCGTGCCTGCCCACGCCGCTGCCCCCGCCCGCCCCCAGCCGCCGACCACGAGCAGCTGACGACTGCACCCGCCCGCCCCCCCCGTCCGCCCCAACGTACGTGCTTGCTGCCCCTGCCTCTTCTCTCCCCCCCCCTCCTCCTAGTCCGTGTCTGTTCGGTGCGTTTTTCCTCGTCCTCCCTCCCCTCCTCGCCTCCTGCCGGCCAGGAGGTCCCACCCGCGGGCGACGCCGAAGTGCGGCCGGCGGGCCTGGGGCTGTCCAGGATGGCCCCGAGGCAGCTGTTGGGTGCGCGGGCCCACCCAACGCACGCGGCGCCCACGAGGGGCCCACGTTGCCGGGAGGTGTGCCGGGAGGCGCCCTTGGGCCGGTGTCCCTGGGACTGCCGGCGGCATCGTATTACGCAAAGCATTCATAGCAAGAATTGCTCGGATGTGCTCGCTCGTTGCCGTGCCATGTTGGCCGGGTGACTCGTGGTGGTACTCCGCGATCCTCCTCCTCCTCCTCCTCTTCCTCCTCCTCCTCCTCCTCCTCTCTCCTCCTGCCTCTTAGGGGTTGGGCGGCTTCCTGACTGACTGACAAGCTGTCTAACATGTCTTCTACATGCTTGAAACATGTCCTGGCATTTCAAAGAAACACATGGAAATCATGTTGTAGACGCCTGGAAACTGCTTGGTAAACCTTGGTAAGCTGCCTCCCCTCCACTGATCGTCTCTCACAGGACAAGGGAGTCTGCGCAGAAGGCACCTCGACACCACCCGCAGGGCCCGGCCAAGGCCACCCTGGGCCCGGGGCATGGGGCACGCACGCCCTCCCGACCCCAGCCCGGGAGTGCGGCTGACACCGTCCCGGAGCCCAAGACGGCCCTGGACGAGCATGGTCTGGCGGCGCGCAGAGGGAGGTAGGGTGGGGAGGGTGAATAGACTTCTCAGAAGCACCCCTGCTTCTTAGAAGGCGCGGGCCTTGGCTAAGGCCCGCAGCTTCTAAGAAGCAGCCTCCTTCTAAGAGCTTTCCCCTTTCCCCCTGCTCCCCTCTGCGCGCCGCCAAATGGTGGCGGCATACAAATGCCTGCCGTGGAAAAGGGTCTCGGAATGCAGCGATTGCGTATCCGAGCCGCGCGCCATCCGATCACGCAGCATTAGGCCCGTCGCCGTCTCTTTCACCTCCAGCCGGGTCACAAGGTCGTTGCGAAGAGGAGACGAGGGGCGCGCAGAGACGGGAAGGACAAGGATGGGAATGAGGGAACGGTTGCAGAAGGATGAAGGAGAAGTGTGCTAAAACCGGACGGCTCCCCATGCTCACGCGCGTAATCAGCCAGTCAAGAGCGGTTCCATGTTCTGGCCCGCTCTGGAAATCCTGCCCCTGCTGGAACGTCACATCCGCCACCGTGCCTCGAGGCACGAAGTGGAGTTACCCCCAGGCTCTCATATGTTCTCTGTTCTCTGGTCTCTGTACTCAACTGTCCCCACCACCACCGTTCTCATCACTGTCCCAGTAGTATCCCCACCATTGTCCAACTGTCTCGAGGAGCGGGAATCGTTTGCCGGCGGCGAGGGGGGGGGTTCGAACCGGTAATGACCCCCCCCGGTTTTCGAAGGGGGGGGGGCTCGAACCGGTAGTGAACCCCCCCCTTTTCATGATGGACCAGGGGGGGGGGGGAGGGGCTCGAACCGGCAGTGGTCCCCCCCCCGGTTTTCGAGGGGGGGGGGGACGGGATTGGAACCCCCAGTGACCCCCCCCCGGTTTTCCGCCAGCAGCGGTAGAACACGCTCTTTCCTGCACTCAGGACTGGGGGATTCTAGTAGTCTAGTATTGGGTCGCGCATGGCCCCCTGCATGCGTATTTTGGACGACAAATGTGACATACTCAAAATATACTCACCAGTGGTCAAGCATAGCAGAAAAATCGTCCCCGTACTACTTTCTAGAACTACTTTTGAATATTACTCCTCCTGGAGAGGGACACGCCCGACTTAATTCTAGTATTCTAGGGGCTGGGGTCCCAGATTCTCGAATTCCCTGGGTGGAGCAGGAGGAGGAGGAGGGAGGATGAGGCGCAGGATGAGGAGGAGGAGGAGGAGGAGTAGGAGGAGGAGGAGGAGGAGGAGGAGGAGGGGGGGAGGAGGAGGAGGAGGAGGAGGAGGAGGAGAGGAGGAGGAGGAGGAGGAGTAGGAAGAGGAGGAGGAGGAGGAGGAAGAGTAGGAAGAGGAGGAGGAGGAGGAGCAGGAGGAGGAGGAGGAGGAGAGGGAGGAGGAGGAGGAGGAGGAGGAGGAGGAGGAGGAGGAGGAAGAGGAGGAGGAGGAGGAGCAGGAGGAGGAGGAGGCGGAGGAGGGGGGATTCTAGTGTTCTAGGGGCTGGGACCCCAGATTCTCAAATTCCCGGGGTGCGCCCGCGCTCTCCTGGGCCGCCCCGCGTGACTTTTTCCAAAAGCCAGAGGGGGCCCCAAGACGGGTCCCAAGAGGGGCCCAAGAAGCGCCCAATAGACCTCCAAGACAACCCAAGAGCGCTCCAACCCTGACCTTCTGGGAGGGCTAAACATAGCACCAGGACCTCGATAATGATCTGAATTCCGGTCGACGTTTTAGGCAGTCCAGATAGGTCTATAGGTATGGAGGGCTATTTTTTGCACTCTGGGAGGTCTGGGAAGACGCCCAAGATGGCCCAAAGATGGCCCGCCCCAAGACGGCCCAAGAGGCCCCAAAGAAGCCTCAAGAGTGCTCCCAGAGGACCCCCACGAGGGCCCAGAGAGGCAGCCATCATTGATCTTCCTTGTGCTTTTTCGATGCTTTTCGCGTTCTCGTGTTGTCGGACTTCCGACGCTCCAAGATGGTCCCAGAGGCCCCAAGACCGCCCCAAGACGTCCGAAGAGGCCCCCAAGTGGGCCCCAAGACGGTCCGAGAGGGCCCCCAAGACGACCCCAAGAGGCGCCCAAGAGGCGACCAAGAAGGCTCCAAGACGGCCCCAAGAGGGGCCCAAGACGGGGGCACACGAACCGACAAGTCGAGCCTTCCCGCGAGACCCAAACGGACACCCAACAGGCCTCCGACCCACAACCCAGGCACGGGGGCGGGACGGCTCCCGCGCAGTCTTGGGCCTCCTCTCGCCAAGGGCGCCTCCCCTCGCGCTCCGCGCTGCGCGACTACGCTCCGCGCTCTCGCGCCGCACCCCGGGGCCCGGGGGGAGGAGAGGAGCACGGGGAGGAACCCGAGCCGAAGCGCGAAGCGCGAGGACCTCGGCGCCCGCGGGCGCGCCCGTGACTCGCAGGGCAGCCGAGGACATCTTCGGCTCTCTCTCTCTCTCTCGCCCCGACCAGGACGCTCACGCGCGGGCTGGGCCGTCTCTCCCGCTCCAGGGGGGTGGGCGAGGGAGGTTCTCTCTCGCCCCGACCAGGACGCTCACGCGCGGTCTGGGCCGTCTCTCCCGCTCCGGGGGGGTGGGCGAGGGAGGTGATCGTCGACGAACCCCCGAGCCGAGGAGCTGCGGGGCGCCACAGACGGACGGAACAGGGCGCCGCTCGACGTCCTCGGCGTCGGGCCCCTGGTCTGGGGCGCCCCAGACGCTCGAGCAGGCGCACGCTCGAGCAGGCGCCGCAGACTGGGGAGCACAGGGGCGCCGCTCGACGGAACCCCCGGAGGGAGCACTGCTCTGCGCCCCAGGGCACTGCGGCTGCTCGTCGACCCGCTGATCGTTTTCTTATTCGGCGTTTCGGCATTGAGCGGAAGGGGGGGGTCTGGCTCCGGACCTCTGCCTGGTGCGACTGTTTGCAGCAGTGCGTCCTAGGAGGGAGAGGCTCCACCTGCTCGGAACAAGCGCCCAAAACAGCGAAGACCTACTCCACGGGGGGGGGTAGGAGGGGGTGCGAGGGCCCGCGCCGATCGGCAAAATAATGAATTTAACAACGATCACCACCCTGACCAGGATGCTCACGCGCGGTCTGGGCTTTCTTTCTCTCATGCTCCAGGGGGTGGGCGAGGAGGGGGGCGTCCAGGAGTGAGGGGGCTGCTTATAGATCGGCGGCGAGCGAGATGGGGGAAGCGAGAGGAGGCGGGCCCTCTCAGAAGGCTCGGAAGCCCCCCCCGGGCTTCTGAGAAGTTCCCTGAGCCTCCCCTGAAGACGCAGAGGACTCCTCAGAAGGCGCGAGGGCTTCTGAGAAGTCCCGCCGCCTTCCGAGAAGGCCTTCTCCTTCTCACTTCCCCCCCTTCGCTCGCCGCCGAGTGTGTGAAGATCGAGCTGCAAGGAAGGCGACGGAGGCACAGCCTTGAGAATATTGAAGGCGGGGTGGAGGGGAGCGGCAAGAAAATCGGTGACGGAGAAAACGGGGACATGGCCCCGAAATCGCATGCAATGGCGCTGAACGCGTGTCATTTGGGCGGGCTTGCTGGTAATCCTGACGTGGCGTGTTCCTGGCAACGAACCGCTACGACATCCGATTCAGAATTTGGCTTGCGTGCCGCTGTTGCATTGTCGCTGTTTGGCGCCATGCTACCAGTGCCATTCTTATCAAGCTCAACTCCTGGAAATGCATGGGACTATGATGGACTGCGAGTGCTTGCGCCTCACACGTCTCAGACGTGCAGCGCACCGTGCACCGAATCACTGGCACTCTCAAACGTGCGACGGGACGATTGCAGCGGTGCTTCTAGTAGCGATGACGGGAGTCGCTTGTGACATCGAATGTGCCCAAAAAATTTCGAAGGACCTGGCCACGGCACTGCCGATGTTGTGGTGTTTCAGAGGAGCCGGCCTTGTCAGTGTGGTTCTGGGTGATGAAGAGGTGGTGGTCGTCCGCGAACTCGTCGTCGAGGCCGAACCTGGAGTCGAAGCTGACCATCTGCACCTCCGGGATGGTGCTCAGGAAGCAGAGCTGGTATATCCCAGCCTTCGCCTCGCGCGGCCGCGGCGCTCCTCCTCGTGGCCCTCCTCCGCTGCTCTCTCGCCGTGGGTCGGTCAGACATCGGCTGCACGCAAGAGTGACCCTGGGTGAGAGCGACCCTTGGTGCGCAGCCTTTTGGGGGCCGCGGGGGGACCAAACGCAGGCGCGCGAGACGCTGCTGTCGCCTTCGCGCTCGGCGATCGGGAGGCCCCAGTGGGCCCGCACCAAAGGCCACTCCGGCGAGGGGTCACTCCTACGCTCGGCGGTGGACAAACCTCCCTTTAGTAAACCTCCCCTTAGTGAAAACGGCCTGGGACCGAAACCGACGGACCTGGACCCGCAAAAATGACGGCCGCGACGCCCTCTCACGAGCAGAAAACGGCCAATTCCTTAATCGACGTGTCAGGGTAGGAGGTCTATCCACCTCCGATACGCGTGGTCGGAGAGAAGGAGCGCAAGGTGGCGCCGCTCTCTGTGCCAGCATCGCCCGGACTCGAGCCGAGCCCTGCCTGTCAGCGGAGGTCGGCCGGGCCAACGGCGCACCGCACACGGCGGAGAGGCCACTCCGCCCCGAGAGGGCGCGCACGCATGTCGCCTCCGTGTGCTTCAGCTTGCCCGACGGCGTCTTGTGCTCGAACAGCTGTACCATGTCGGGGTCCAGCATTCTCACGACGATGCCCTCTTCTGGGCCATCAGCCTCGTAGTTTCCAACAAAACTGTAGACGTGCTCTTTGTTTTATGTTTTCTTTGTTTGTGTCTGTGTGTGCGCGCGTGCGCAAGTTTTTCTGAGGGTATTGGTTGCATGTCTGACAAACAGAAGCATCGCTAGGGCGCCGTCTGTGGGATTCCTCCGTATGCTGGTGCGCAGCAAGCTCTACCCGAATCCCACCAGCCCTTCAGGACGTGAGTGGTTTAGGGCGTTTCCTCTTCCAGCCCCCTTCATTCCCTTCGGGGAGGGGTTTACCCCTCTCCCTACCACCTCAACCTGCGGGGGGGGAGGGGGTCGCGAGGTGCAGAGCGTCCAAGATGGCCTCGGCGAGAAGGAACACATCGTTGATTTTACGGAGGTTTTGGCTACATGTTGGCCTTCTGGGGGTGTGGCGCTAATGCAGGAGCTCCCCTCCTTTGACCGATCTCCTCCAAGGTGACCCCAAGATTGCCCCCGAGACTCCAAAGGGTGCCCCAAGACGGCCCCAAGAGGTGCCCAGGAGGCCCCACGAGGCCCCCAAACTGCCCCCAATTGGCTCTCAAGAGACTCCCAAGAGGCCCCCCAGAGGCACCCAGGACGCCCTAAGAGGCCCCCGGGACTGCCAAGAGATCCCCAACACGCCCCAAGAGGACTCCAAGAAGCCCTCAAACGACATCTGAAGAGACTCCGAGAGGTATCCAAGAAACCTCTGGCCTTTCTGCTCGACCTCCTCCTCCTCCTCCTCCTCCTATTTTTCATCCGCCTATTCCTGCTCCTTCCTCCTCCCTCCTCCCCCCCCTCTCCCTCCTCCTCCTCCTCCTGCTCCTCCTCCGATTCCTCCTCCATCTTCCCCCTCTTGGGGTATGACGTCTTATCCAGCCCTATGTTCCACTGCATGCTCATCCACATCCCTGATCAGGGCAATTCGTCTGGCCATCGTTTTTGGATGGGTTGGTGGCTTTTCCGTCGCAGCCGCAAGCAAAGGCGCATGCGGCGTCAGAGGTCGACCCGGGCTGCGGGCGAAGCCGAATTGCCCAGCGGACGCACTCACGGCTGCCGAGGCTGCCGCCGAGGGAGGCCGAGGGGCGCCGGGGGCTGAAGGCAGGCTGCGAGAGTTGCCAGGAACGCCAGGGCCAGCGTGCGGGCATCCCAGAGGCGAGACCACGGGGAGAGGATTGGTTGAACCTTGTCGCACCAGGCGCCAGAGGTAGACGCGCCACCAAGCGTGGCGAAGCGCGGGGCTGCACAGGCAGTCCAACGTGCAAAGCTGCGGGCTAACAAAGACGAACACAGGTTGGTGTTTTTTTTTGGTCGCAACCGCAGGCGAAGGCGCCAGCGGCGTCTCGAGTCGGCTCGGGCTACGAGCAGAACTAATTGCCCGACGCGCGCGCGGGCATCAGCAGAACCTACCGCAGGGGGAAGCTGCTGCGCCGAGGGCAGTGGCTGCAACCGCCGAGGGAAGCGAGGCAGCGCCGTGGGCGGGGGCTGCAAGCTTTGGTGGGGTTACGCGAAGCGGCTAGAATATCTATCGTCAAATGGGTATCCTCCCCCTCCTCCACCTCCTCCTCCAAGTTTCCCCCTATTCCACCTCCTCTCCTCCTTCTCATCCTTCTCTTCCCCGCAATCTCCTCCTCCTCCTCCCCCTCCTCCTCCTCCTCCTCCTCCTTCTCCTCCTCCTCCTCTCTGCCCTCCTCTTTGCGATTCTGCGTTTTCGAACAATTCTAATAATCCCAACCGTCCCGTGTTATGCTCCCGTTTTGAATAGAGCACTGCGAACGCACTCCTTCTCCTCCCCCTTACTCCTGCCTCCTCCTGCGCTGCTCCCTGGGTGGCTGCGAGCTGCGCAACTGTCGCCACTTTCGTGGGCTTCTGGGGGGCACGGCGGAGTAAGGGCATTTTGCGGATCCAGTGCTGCCTGGGAGGCTGCGCGCTGCGCAACTGTCGTCACTTTCGTGGGCTCCTGGGAGGCACGGCGGGGTCGGGGAATACGTCTCGGATCATGTCCTTATTTCCTCCAACCGTTCCGCCCTTCTTGGGATGTCCAACGCAGTATACAATGTACCGCGCGTTGCCAATTGCATCAATGGGGAACTGCGGCGATAGAGCAATGTCAGAAGCCATGACGAAAGAAACGGCGACAGCGGGAAAGTACATCCTATGTCCCAAGTCGGCGTTGAACTTGAAGCACTCCCCGTTCCCTGACGCTGCTTTTTTAAAATCTGACCTCAGATATTCATTGTGCGAGTGCGTCGCACGACAAATAATGGATGATGACGCTGTGCCCCTGGGTGTGCCAACCTTCATATGTATCATCGTACGCCTGTGCACGAACATATGCTTATACTTATACTGGTGCGGAACATGCTCTGACACCAAATTGTCAATTCCGCCTTACCGTGTGCTCCCGTGACCGCAATCCACATTTGGTCACCCGTAACAGCCCATCGGTCACTCTTACTGCCCAACACTGAGGCGGTGCACCAGCAACTTCTGCGGTGACAGACCGTAGCCCTCTGTGGCTGCGGAGAACACGCAGAGAAGACAGCATGCAGTCGCAGTAACAGGCGGCGAGCCTGTGGGGGAAGTGAGAAAGAGAAGGCCTTCTCAGAAGGCTCGGAAGTCCCCCGGCCTTCCGAGAAGTTCTCCGAGCCTTCCCCGAAGACGCAGAGCACTTCTCGGAAGGCGCGAGGGCTCCTGAGAAGCCCCTGCCGCCTTCCGAGAAGGCAGGCCTCCTCCTCCTCACTTCCCCCCCTCGCTCGCCGCCGAAGCAGGCAGCATGAGCTGCTGCGAGCAGCATCAAGAGCCCCTCCCCGCAGTACGCTTAAGTCGGGCCTGTCCTCCTACAGGGGGATTTTCGATGAAAAATAAACAATACCCCCAAAATAGTCAAAACATAATCCAAACATAGTCTGGGGACTATTGTTTGAATATCTTTTGACACTTGGGGTATTTTGGATTTCTCGTCGAAAATCCCCCTGTAGGGGGACAGGCCCGACTTAACAGCACGCCACTCCCGCCCAGGGCAGGCGGCCTCCCGTCTCGAACGGACACAGGCCGCGGCGGCGTGGACAGCGAGTCCTGCTCAGAATGCACCAGCTCCGCTGCTGGGCATTTGGTACCCCACTCCTTCCGTGCCCACTTCGTTCGTGCAGAAGGGGGGAGGGCCCAGCGACGAGCCCCGCCTGGCAGGCCCGGCTTCAGCTCGAAGAAGAGCGCCTGGCACCTCGGCTCTCGGGGAGGCGCCCCCCCCCCCCAGCCCCTCCGGGAGGAGGAGGAGGAGGAGGAGGTGGAGGAGGAGGAGGAGGAGGAGGGTGAGGAGGGAGGGGGAGGAGGAGGGGCGGAGCAGGAGGACGAGGAGGAGACGAGGAGGAGGAGGAGGTGGAGGAGGAGGAAGGAGGAGGAGGAGGTGGAGGAGGAGGAGGGGGAGGAGGAGGAGGTGGAGGAGGAGGAGGAGGACGGAGGAGGTGGAGGAGGAGGAGGAGGACGAGGACGAGGAGGAGGAGGACGAGGAGGTGGAGGAGGAGGAGGAGGTGGAGGAGGACTCCCCCCTCCACTTTGTCACCCTCGTCGCCCCCTTCGCTCTCTCCCTCGTCGTCCTGCCCTCCTTCCTCCTCTCGGCGGTGCGCGAGGGGGGGATCGAGAAGGAGAAGGCCCTCTCAGAAGGGGGCGGGACTTCTCAGAAGCCCTCGCGCCTTGGGGAGGATGAAGAGGAGGAACAGGGGGAAGAGGAAGAGGAGGATGAGGAGGAGGAGGAGGAGGAAGAGGAGGGGGCGGGGGGGAGGAGGAAGGAGGAGGAGGGGGAGGAGGGGGAGGAGGAGGAGGGGGAGGAGGAGGGGGAGGAGGAGGAGGGCCCTCTCAGAAGGCGGCGGGACTTCTCAGAAGCCCTAGCGCCTTCAGAGACATTTTCTGTGTCTTCGGGGAAGGCTCCGAAAGCTTCTCGGAAGGCACGGAGACTTCCGAGCCTTCTGAAAAGGCCTTCTCCTTCTCACTTCCCCCCCTCGCTCTCCGCCGATCAGCGGCCACCCGCCTGTGGATACTGCGGGTGCTGAACGGAGGAACCATGCCTGGCAGCACGCACGTGCTGGCACGGGCCGACCTGGAAAGACAGCGTACCACACGCAATTCCCCAGGGCTGTACAACTTAACGTGTGTGGCGAGTGAGTGTTACGCTTGGAACGGGAAGACCTACCTTCAAATGATATCGCCTCTCTTTGCACTTGCCGGTGTTACGTCTAGGCCCCGGTGCGATATACATATATATATATATATATATATGTGTGTATATATATATATATATGTACATATATATATATATATATATATGATCGGTATATATATATAGATGGATATATATATATATATATAGATAGCTATATGTATGTATATATTTTTATATATATAGATATGCGGTCTATGCGGGCCGAACTCCCCGCTAAAACAGCAGAACAAGACAATCACACTCGACCCCACCACACAGGACACGTACAGGGCATGCCCGAAGGGGTCAGGCTGCGGCAGCAACCGCAGAAGAGAGGGATTGAGGCTTTCGCGTGGGGCATTCGTGAACGCCGTGTCAGCTCGAAAAGGGAAACCTTGCAACTCGAGTGATCAATGTGTGAGTAAATCCATAGGGCCGACATACGGAACGTTGAATTATTACCGGAGGGGATTTTGTGGCCACGGCAAGCTTCGGCCACGAAATGTTTCATTGACCTTCATGTTTTGCCCTTGCAACCTCATCCTTCTCAAAAAGAGCGACGAAGGTCCTGAAGGAAACGGGTCCTGACCCCCCAGGCTTTCCCGATACCAACCCTGCATCCTGAGCCAATTTCTAGCGGTCCCAGATCCGAGTGGACGCGGAACACGGGGAAACAACAAAGGACCCCCTTCCCTCGCTTCGGCGGCGAGCCTGGGGGGAAGCGAGAAGGGGTGGGCCTTCTCAGAAGGCTCGAAGTTCCATGGCCTTCTGCGGAGGAGTCTTCGAAGCCGTCCCCGAAGACGCAGAGAACTTCTCAGAAGGCGCGAGGGCTTCTGAGAAGTCCCCGCCGCCTTCTGAGAAGGCCTCCTCCTTCTCTCTTCCCTGGAGGAACAAACAACGCCATCAGCATAAACTTTCGGCGCTCCGCACGGACTTCTTGGATCTGCGCCGGACCCCCTCCCCCTCCCTGGCGCGCGGAGTGCGCCAAGCGCCGCCGGGGGGGGCCTAGCGCGGATCCAAGAAATTCGTGCGGAGCGCCAAAAACTTCTGTTTGTGGCTTTTTGTCTTCTTCGATTCCCACCCGGCTCGCCGCCGATCAGTACACGTCGCTCATTTCTAGTCGTGCTCATTTCTAATTGTGCTCGTTTCTAACTGTTCCTGGCCCCCTAGTGGCCAGGAAGAGGCCCAGGATAGAACAATGAGGAATAAACAGATTTCTGCCGTCCAGAAATCGAAGACCCTTCGAAGAAGTAGAAATGAACAAAGTGTACTGCTCTCCTTCGCGGCGGTCCTCCTCCTCGCCGCAGGCGCTCCGTGGGCCCCTCCAGGAGGTGCGTCCTGGCCACACTTGCGCGAGGCGTGCGCAGCCAGGGTGGCGCGAGGCTTCCCCGCGGGGCCCCAAATGTAAAGTAACATGTGGAGGATAACACCAAGTCCTACCTCACTAACCGCTCCTCCCTCCTCATAACACCCATCCGCCCCCACACTTTATAACATTCTTCCCATCGTACACGCAACGGACTAATCAAAGCGACTCATTCCCTTGCCCCCTCTCCATCCTCCTCCTCCCCTCCCCCTCCTCCTGACTCCTCATCCCTCATATCCTCCTCCTCCTCATGCCTCCTCCTCCCTCCTACCCTCCCCCTCCTCCTCCACCCCCCTCCTCCTCCGCCCACCCGCCTCCTCCTCCTCCTCCTCTCCTCCTCCTCCTTCCTCCCCATCCTCCTTCCTCCTCCACTCATCCTATACCTCCTCCTCCTCCTCCTCCTCCTCCTCCTCCTCCTCCTCCTCCCCCTCCCCCCAAGCTTGCCATCGCTCGGACGTCCATTCCGCGTGCCTTTTTTGTGTTCGTGCATTTTTTTTGCCAGATGATCCAGGGTGATCCTCGATGGCCCCTCGCCGATGCCGACAAAGAATGCACTCGTCCGAGCGATGCCAAACGCCAGAAACCTCGATCCGCGACCCGCCCATCTGCGCCCCTCCTGGACGCCCTGGGGCCGGCGCGGCACCTCCACGCCAGCGCCTCCTCCTTCGCCTCCCCTGCCTCCTCTCGCCATCGCTCGGACGTCCATTCCCCTGATCTGGGATGCTCCTCGATGGTCTTCGCCGAGAAAAACATGCACGCATCCGAGCGATGCCTCCTCCTCCAGGGAGGAGGGAGAGGGCGGAGGGATGGAGGAGGGGGGAAACCAGGACCCTGACATCGGCCAGCCTGTGTTTCTCGCCAGCCGCAGCCCCAGAGATCCCAGCCGCTTCCCTGGGAGTGGCCCTTCGTCCAAGATCCATTCCTGATGGCCCCGGGGCCCAACAACGGTCCCCAAGGGCCGAGATCAGGGACAACGCCAGGCCTGACGAAACGATACCGTCGGAGATCTGGGGAGGTGGACGAAGAGAAGGAGGTGAATGAGAGGAGGAGGAGGAGGAGGAGGAGGAGGAGGAGGAGGAGGAGGAGGAGGAGGAGGAGGAGGAGAAGGAGGCGAGCTTTTCCAGAGGCCCAAAACGTACGCCCGAGTGCCACCGGGGCAAATCCGCGCGGGTGCCTCCTTCTCCACCGCAGTCTCCTCCTCCTCCTCCTCCGAGGTGAGGGAGAGGAAAGAAGAGGAAGAACCCAGACCCCCGATGTCGTGATGTTTTCGCAACTTTGGTCTGGACCCCTCCCCGGGACAAATCTTTCATTCCGAGTTGTTATTTGACGGTCCTGGGGCCCAGCGAGTGCCCTCGGAGACTGGAAATAGAGACAAACCTCCAGTCGTGTCTTTTCAAAACGCAAGGGGGCCTGGGGAGGTACAGTGCGCGTCTACAAGCCAAGCACCCCATTGACACACAGGCCACAACAAGCTGCAGGTTGTGCCTGAATCTCGCCGTCTGGGTAATAACCTCGGTCCTTGCACAGCTTCTTTGGGGGAGGCCTCGTTTGAGCCTCTGAAGCGAGGGAGGGGGAGGAGGAGGAGGAGGAGGAGGATGATGAGGATGGGGATGAGGATGAGGATGATGATGATGATGATGTGATTGAGGAGGAGAGGAGGCAGGAGGAGGGAGGAGAGGTGGTGGAGGAGAGGTAGCGAGGAAAGAAAGGTGGAGGAGGACGAGGAAGATGCGCTTGAGGAGGAGGAGGAGTGAGGAGGAGGAGGAGGAGGAGGAGGAGGAGGAGAGGGTGGAGGAGGAGGAGGAGAGGAAGGAGGAGGAGGAGGAGGTGGTGGGAGGAGGAGGAATAGAGGAGGTTTTTGTGAAGGAGGAGGAGGAGGAGGAGGAGGAAGACGAACATGCGGAGGCTCACGCCTGCCAGCGTTTGTCCAACGGTAAAAAGGAGGAGGGAGAGGGAGGAGGAGGAGGAGGATGAGAAGGAGGGAGGAGGAGGGAGGACGGAGGGCGAGGAGAGATGAGGGATCAGCAGGAGGAGGAGGAGGAGGAGGAGGAGATAAGGAGAAGAGAGGATGGGTGATGCTGCTGCTGCTGCTGCTTAGGCGGAGGAGAAGGAGGAGGGATGCTGAGGAGGAGTGGGGGGGGAGGAGGAGGATGGGCTACCGAGCAGGGCGGGACGCCTCCACGCCAGCAGCAGAGGCGCGAGCGCAGCCGCCGCGGCCGCGCGAGCGGTGGCCGGCATCGCGCGCGGCAGGCGCGCGCCCTCCGCCTCAGACGCCGCGCCGCGCCCCCCGCGCGCCCGCTCTGAGAGTTGGAGGGGCAGCAGAGGGATCGAGGATCCGCGAGGAGGAGGAGGGACAGGAGGAGGAGTGACGGAGGAGGAGAAGGAGTAACGGAGGATGAGGAGAAGGAGGAGGAGAAGCAGGCGGAGGAGGAGAAGGAGGAGGAGAAGAGGGACGAGCATAGTAGTAGTAGTAGTAGTAGTCGTCGTCGTCGTCGTCGTCGTCGTCGTCGTCGTCGTCGTCGTAGTAGTAATAGTAGTAGTAGTAGTAGTAGTAGTAGTA